AGTGCTGAAGCAGAATACAGGTCCATGGCCAACGGAGTGGCTGAAATCCTATGGCTAAGATCTCTACTTGAGGAGTTGGGTATTGAGTATGAGAAGCCYYTGATGCTGTATTGTGATAATCAAGCAGCCATTAATATAGCACATAATCCAGTGCAGCATGACAGAACCAAACACGTTGAAGTTGACCGCCATTTTGTACGAGAGAGGGTCTCATCTCAAGAAGTATGCCTCCCTTACATCACGTCCAGTATGCAACTAGCAGACATCCTCACTAAACCGTATCAAGAAAGAAGCTAGARGCGGATCTATCCAAGTTGGGAATGATGAACATTTACTCCCACCTTGAGGGGGAGTGTAGAGAACATTGATGTGGGCCCCACAGCTGTGGTCCCACTCTGTCTGTAGGGTAGAATGTATCTAGTCATAGCTGATGGTCAACTTATTATTCAGTTATTCTAGTTGTTATTTACTTTTCAGTTTTATATTGTTATGTGTTATGATGTAAACACCAAGGGCAGATGTGTCCTTTCATGYAACTAGCATAACATATAAATATTWAATTGAAGTGGCGGCGGCAGAATATTGAGATTCTGTTCTTCTACTCAAAAACTGTGTTCTACTGCTCTCTCACCACTCTTTCTCCTCCCTCTTCACTTTTTCTTCTCTTCGAACCTGAAGTTTCTTAGTGATCAAGACTGATAGCAGTCTTGAACACCTACATAATCCATCCTATCATAATGAGTTCACCACCCTAAAATTAAGAAATTAGGTAGTGTTTGCACCGCAACACCTATGCTAGAGTCTTGTTTAAGAAGGATCAGAAAACACCATTGGGTTGGTTCTATGTTAGAGATTTTGTAGAGTACAATTAGCACAATTTTATTAGCCAAGGATCAAAATATTGCAACGTATCAGGGTGTATCAGCCGATACGTATCATATCGGGGGCTTCCCGATATGCCCCTACAGGGGTTTGGTCTAGTTCAGAGGGTAAACCAGCCTTAAACTGACCCCTCTGAACCAGTTTCAAAGAAAAAATATTAAAAAAAGCTAGCAAAGATACAGGCCGATACACCCCTACTGGCGTATCGGCCTCTATCGATATTTTGAACCTTGGTATTAGCTATTAATGGTAAAATCTTGGGCTATCAAGCATGAGAATGTGAAAGGTTGGACCTTATCCAGTCCACCCCTCCCAAAACCCCAGATAGGAGACTGGATCTCCTGAAAGCAAAAAACTGAGAGCACAACATCCAGTTGCACATCGGGAATATATCCCATACATGTATGTTAAATTCATGGTGAGATGTTCCACAATGTGCGGCTGGATGCCCATGCTTTCCAGAGTGTTTGCAGAATTTTTGCTTTCAGGAGACCCCGTCTCCCCAGATAGTTGGGACCAACATTGAATAAGGGCCTTTTTATATTATTTTTAGTTAGATAATTTATAGATATATAGTTTCACCATCCAAACCAATACACTTAATGTAAGTTATTCGATTCACACAATCATGCTACTTTTTTTTCACTGAAAATTTCTCAGTGAGATCCATCCAATTGGGACTCTTGTTCCTCCTCTATACATGAGATATGTTCCAGATATGAGCCCTGAAGACTTGGAATCAAGATTTCTGAATTTCAATGGAAGATGTATAAGGCCTTGGTTTCCTGCCTATAAATCATTTATTTATGGGTAGCTTTGATATCAAGGCATAGTTGTCAAGCAACGCCTAGGTGGGTGCCTAGGCGACAAGGCGCCCTTGGAGGCTCGCCTCGCCTAGTTGCCTAGCAGTTTTGCATACTGTGTAATAAAATACTTTTATATTGTTATTTTTTTTGAGATTATAATTATAAAATAGACATTATTAAAGAAAAATATTCATTTTTGTGTTTATAAACTAATTTCTTTTTATTATTTTCTTATTTTTTAGGGTTTAATCAACACAAACATTGCTAACTGCTGTATTGAACCCTCAATGACTTC